GGTGTCTTTGGGATACATTTACACTTACCGACACATATGAGCATAGGATGGAGGGGCTCACAGCACTAACACCCCAAAAGGACTTGCTTCCCTTTTAAGTTTTGAGGGGAGCCCTCAAGTTCAGCTCAGAGCAACACAGCGAGCAAGTGATGTCTCTCTGTCTCCAGCTTCCAGCTCCTTCACAATCCAACTGCGGCTATTGTTCTACATACCAGTCAGGTGAAGGGGGTGAGGGGAAAGGCCCACCCTGGTGTTTTAAGATGCAGAGAGCGACCTCTTTGGATATGCTAAATTGTGGTACTTAACTAGCCACTCAAACAAAGGAACTGGTTTGGCAAGCCCTCTTTTATACGTTCTGCTCTCAGAGACACAGGATCAAAAGTTTGGAAGGGTTTTCATCCAAACTGAACCCCCCCCCCCAACTCATAACAATATAAAGGGAAAGAATACAGAAGAGGGAGAGAAGCAAGAAGGGACATTACCAACAATCTGCTATGAGATTTTGATTCCATTTAAGGGAGTTGGGCCTTAGTGGAGGGGCCAATGTGTTTGCCACTTAAATTGGGGAAGGAGGGGGAAGAAATGTCAGGGGAAGAGAGAGGCTGCAGACAAAGGGTCAGGAAAAAAGTGGGGCTTAAAAGTGCGGGATCTACATGTTAGGATATTTCCGTTCCACCTTAAAAGGGAGCAGGCTTTGTGAATCACAGAGTCTGCATATTTCCTGTTAACAGGATGTTTATGTTTTCTATTGCTTTCGTTTCTCTCTCGGTGCCTGAACGCTGAAGCAGGCGGTCATGGTTTTTCTCTGTTCTGACTAACGCAGAATAAACTCATAAATAATGCTCTCCTGCGTGCATCTTTCGTTGTGCATTATCTGCTGATAAGAGCGTGCATCAGTTCTGGAGTATGGCAAGCTATTTCTGGAGCTCGTGTCGCTAATTGCTGATACTGCGTGTTTACAGGAGATCGATGGATGTCCGGAGGCGACGTGAGGCCATGATGGACTTTGTCTCCCTGGCACTACATGCCCAACACTACATGCACACCATAAAATGGTAGAGAACTTCCTTATAACAGGATGTTGCATTTGTTTACACTAGCCTTCACCAGCATGGTGCTTTCTCTCACTCGCATTGTTCAGGACTACAACTCCCATCAGCTGGCTGTTGCTGATGGGAGTTGTAGTCCAAAACATGAGGGCAGGGCTCAGGTTGGTGGCTGGCCTGCACTCTGACTGGCAGCAGCTCTCAGGGTGTTAGGCAGGGGCTCTATGTACCCTGATCCTCCTAAGTACGGCCTCATGTTTCCGTTCACCAGTATTTTTTAAACACACACACACAAATAAAAGACCGATTGACACGAAAAATCTCTCTAACCATAAAAGGTCTCTCTTGTGAATAGAAAACATACACCACTCATTCAGCAAACAGTGATGAAAAAGAAAATAAATAATGACTAATTCTTCTTTTTACTAAAGGAAACAAAGAGTGTTTTAAACAAAGTATGATGTGGTACAACAGGAATGCAACTGTAAGTTCAAAGTCTTTCTTTTTTTTAAGCTCTTATTAATCTTCTGGAATAATAATCAAATTGAGGTTTCCGACCCAGGGATGGGCTGCCTGTGTTGGGGTTGGCTCATCTGTGATAATGGGAGCTGGAGCTGAACAACAGGTTCCCCATTCTGGCTATGTATATTTATTCAGACATAAGTAGCATTGAATTCAGTCGGGTTTGCACCCAGAGTTCCCTGTGAAGAGGGGTTGATGGTTAAACCACTCTGCTTATAGCAGTTTCCCAAACTGCAGATCAGTGCCAACATGAAACTCTGCAATCATAAGATTGTAGGAATGACCCCTGTGCCATTTGCTATATGTACGGGAAAACATCTGCCTCTGACTTTTATCTTTCGGCTTATGTTTTCCTTCCTTTCCCTTTCTCCTTTTATCCCAAGTGGCAGAATTTTAAAACAACAAGAACAGAAGTTATTTCTGGCAAGTAGCAAGCAAAGCCTTTCTTCTTCATCTTTGCTTGCTTATGTTGGAAAGGGCCACATATATTGATGGTGCTGTAAAAAAAATAAATCAAAATACTCCTTTTGTTTATTCACTTTTAGCATTTCTCCCCCACCTTTCAGACAACTTATTTATCACAAGTTGCACCGGCTAGTTCCTGAAGGGGAAACAATTCAGTATATAGGAAGATTGTGATTGAAAGATTGTGCCATCATACAACAGCAGAAGGGAAAAGATACGTACTAGGTCTCCTGCCCAAAAGAATTTGCAATCAAAACTTCAACAGAATCAGAGAATCAGAGAATTGTTGTGTTAGAAGGGACCACAATGTTCATCTAGGAAAACCCTCTGCAATGCAGGAATCTCAACTAACACACACCTGACAGATGGTCATCCAGCCTCTGTATAATTACCTCCAGGGGAGTCCACAACCTCCCAAGGGAGTCTGTTCCACTGTTGAATAGCTCTTACTGTCAGAAAATCATTCCTGATGTTTACACCTTTCTTGTAATTTGAATCTGTAGGTTTGGGCCCTAGCCTTCAGAGCAGGAGAAAACAAACTTGCTCCATCTTCCATGTGACAGCGCCCGAGATATTTGAAGATGGCTATCTTCATATCTCCTCTCAGTCTCCTCTTTTCCAGGCTAAACATACCCCTCTCCTTCAAGCACTCTTCATAAGGCTTGCTTTCCAGACCCCTGGTCATCTTGGTTGCCTTCCTCTGCACATGTTCCAGCTTGTCAATATCTTTCTTAAATTGTGGCACCCAGAGAGAGGATTCCGAACATTTTTTCACCTTTGCAAAAGCAAAAAACAACCCCCCCCCATTTTTATCTTTCCCTTTCTCCAAGAGCCTCATACATGGCTCTTCTCTTACACATTGTAACTTCACAAAAACCCTGCAAGGTAGGCCAGGCTGAGAGATGGCAATTTACCAAAGTAAGCTTCATGGATGAGTGGGGATTTAAACCCTAGTCTTCCTTGCCCTTGTCTGATACTCTAACCACTTTCCCATGCTGCCACACATTAACATACACTAGTCCTATTTTCTAAACAGCTCCAAACTGGGAATGTTGGAAAGAAAAGGGTGTTGCCAGTAAGATGCCAAACCACTAATGTTTTAAAAATTCACTGGGGGTTTAAAACACCCAATCCAGCTCTGGAGGGCTTGCCTCATAGCCCTAGCATAGTTCCTGAACTCAGGACCAGCTTAAGGTTTCATGGAGACCTGAATATGGTAGCCACTGTAATTGACTGCACAAATCTAACGAACACATTTGCTGTTCTAACCACTTCTTACAACTGGGCCCACCCACTGCTAGCAAGTTCCTTCCAGAAGGTAGTCTACTCCTGCCTTAAAAGCAGGATAGGCTGAGAGATAATTGCTGAAAGACACCTAGTGGGCTTTGTGCCTAACTGGGCACTTTTCTTTATTTATCTACATATTTACAGCTCACATGTAAATAAAAATACATCAAGGTGGTATACAGCACATAAGAATAAAATCATCAAAAGGCATCCATAAAAATGTTGTTGAATACTGACCTGAACTCTGTTCTCCCAGGTCCTGGTCCAGCAATTTAAAGGACCCCTGGACAGTTAAGTCCAGTCAAAGGTGACTATAGGGTTGTGGCGCTCATCTTGCTTTCAGGCCAAGGGAGCAGGCGTTTGACAGCTTTCTGGGTCATGTGGCCAGCATGACTAAGCTGCTTCTGGCGCAACGGGACACCATGACAGAAACCACTATACCACACTCGCAGGAAAAGGAAATTATCTCTCATTTAATTCACAGGGTTATTTATTATGAGGATAAAACGGAATGGGAGAAGCACATAGGCTGCCTAGAGTTCTCCTTGGAGGAGAGGCGGGATATAAATATTTAAAAATGGCAATAATAGTAGGCATAACAGGCTGGTGAAATATCTCTCACAAAGCTAGCACGCAGAGATTGTATCAAGCAGTCCTTCAGCTCTTGCTCAGTAAAAGGCACTCACAACTTATGCACATTTAACTTGTGTGCATTCAGATGAGCTTCAGATGCTTGACCAAAAATTAAGTAATTAATTAATTAATGAAAGAGGGCAGAAATCTAGGGGGCGGGATTATTTGGCCATTGCAACCTATGTCTTTTGACAATACGGTACACAATTTTGGCTTTGTGCACTTATCCCCGCAATATAAGCCCCTGTAAGTTGAGTCTCATCTGTACCTGTAAAGTATGTTCTTTCCCTCAAAGAACTCTGGGCACTGTAGTTTGTTAAGGGTTGCTGGGAACTGTACTTCTGCGATGGGGGAACTACAGCGCCCAGGACTCTTTGAGGGAATAACGCGCTTCGAATGCGCTTTACAGGTACAGTAAAGTGGCTGAAACCTGCTCCCTACCCTCTTGGACCAACCCGTCCTCCACCAATCACGTTCCCTGCGCTTTTTAAATCTGCCCTCTGTATCCCTCCGCCTGCCAAGGCAGCACCTGGGCAAGTTCACTTCCATATAAGGGGGGGGGGAGGTGGATGCAGCAAAGTTTAATAGCTGGACCCATCCTCCCCCACCCCTTTAAGTTGGCCGGCCCGTCCTCAATACGGCCTCGGGGGGACTGAACCACCTACATAAAAGGGATGGGGGGGTCGTGAAGGTACAGGTGAGCTTTACTTTTTGCCTTGCAGTAAAAGACTCCCAAAGGCGGCAAACGGACGGGCTTCCACACCACACCTAAAGCCTTTCCGTGGCCGGAAAGCGCCTCAGCAGGTTCGCGTCTCTCCTCCACGCCACCCCCCTTTCTCCTCCTTTATGGGAGTTGGTAGTTTCCGTCGTTTGGGCGAGGCACCCACAGCGAGCGCTGCACCTGAGGCGCGCGGAGAGAGCGAGAGCCCAGAGAGGGGCTCGGCAGTCGGACGTAACTCGGGGAGCTTTGCGCGGGGCGCGGCTGTTCCTGAAGGATTCGGCTGAAGAGACCGCGGAGGGAAGAAGGGGCCGAAGCAGTGAAGGATCCGACGGAGTTCTCGCTTCCCCCTCCTTTGCCTGCGGACCACCCCTCCCCTCCCCGCGTCTCTCCAGCCAGCGGGGTGGGAAATGGGAGACTCGGCCGGCCATGCTGCCTTTGCTTTGGCTTTTGGGGAGCGCCTGGATCTTAGGTAAAAAGAACTTTTTAAAGTTGTTTTTTTTGTTTGTTTTACAGCGCGAGCGGCGGGACCCCCTTCTACCCTGCCCCTCCACCCTCCTCTGGAGGAAACTCGTCCGGGGTCTTCTGTTTTTTTTTAGGGGGGGGGAGACAACTCGAGAGCTGATTGGGCGAAGGGCTCGCGCTCCTTTCTCCTTCGCGCTGACCTTTTTTGTTTTGTTTTGTTTGGGGAGCTCAAAGGGGGTTTCTGTCTTCCAAAGGTTATGGGGATATTTCGCAACTTGGGAAACCCACCTGTTCCAAGGTGTGGGCTTCCTGGTGAGGAAAGGGTATATGACTGCTATTTTCTCTGCACCCACCCCCCCTTTCACAAAAAAGAAAATAGGGTTTCCGACAGGCAGACATTAACAGAGTGAAGCCTTTTTCTTATTATGGAAGTGATGAGGGAAATCAGCACCTGTTAGGTTTCTAGCTGTTTCGTAGTTGTCGAAAGATAAGGAAGTTGGCAACTGAGATGATTTATCTATTGTATTTGGCTCCCATCTTTTTCTCCAAAGGGTTGCAGGTGGTGTGCAGAGTTTTCTCTCTCTTTCTCTCGCTTCCCCACATTTAATTGCCACAACAACCCTGTGAGGTACGTTAGGCTTAGGGGCGGTGACCAGCCCAAGGTCTCCCAGTGATTTGAAACTTGGTCTGTAGGGAGGCCAAGAAGCTTCAGTTTTCCCTAATCTGCTTCCCGTACATCTGGGATGTAAAATACATGCCTTTTCTCTTCAGTTCCTGGGCCAACCTTCTTGGATTGAAAAACCAAGTTGTCTTATTGGCTCCCTTCCCGCAAGACAACAACCTTTCTCAACTTGAGGGATTGTCTGTGTCTTTCTTTGCATATAGGTTTGTCTGGTTACAGCCATGACTTGTTGACTCCCTCAGTTTGTTGGGAGAGGAGCCTCATTGGGAGATTTAAAGGAACAGGGGCCAAAATAGGACCTAGTAACCCCATCTATGTGTTGTAGAAAGTGTCTGTGTTTTCAAGGATAGAAGGAAAGGTAGTAATGTCCAGCATCAGGGAATCTTATTGGAATTTCAACAGTGTTTAATAGTTGGTGGAACATAAGAAATCCTTGCTTGCTGAGAAAAGTACCTTAACAAGTTTCCAGCCCCATGGGAGATAAAAACATTTGCTCCAGGGGAAAAGATTGGGATCAACCCATTGGTGGCTTAAATTTAGGCATGCTTTTATACCCCTTCCCCCACTATTGGCTGGGATTAGGTCTACCACATGGCAGGGTGTGTGCTTTGCATTTAATGGCCTTCCTCTAAAGTAAACACCCAGGAAAGGACTGATAATTGTTTTCGCTCAAACCTTAACCCTTTTCTGTAATCCTGGTTTCATGACCTAGGAAGAGGAATGGTTCTTCTGTAGCAGGTGATGTCACTTTTGTGGTGGGTGTCTTGCTTAGAAGCCTGGACTCTACTCAGACCCAGCTTGTGGGAAATGTGGTCATCTCCGTTCCTCTCTTTTTCTCGGGTGATGTCTCATCTTGGCTGCTGTGGCAGCCATGACACGCCTGCCGAAACTGATCTCTGTACCAACCCACCCCCCTTCAGGCGAAACCACGGGAGCAAATAAAAGGAAGAAAGTTGATGCAAGCAGTGGACAGGGCTTTGTTTTTTTCGGTGAAAAGGAAATTTGGATTGAAAATACTAGTGCAGTGGACAATGTAAATATCCTTCAGGCACCTAATAAAAACAACCTTGATCTGTCAGGGGTTTTTTGTGTGGATATTGCTGGTTTGCGGGAACGCTTTGCTTTTCTAGACTGTTTGCTACCTGAGAAGCTAAACGGAAAGCAAATGACTGAGAGGATAGGAGTGAAAGGGGAGCCACCTGGCAGAAGGAAAAGAGAATGGCTAGGGTAGGGGGGGAGTTGAGAGAAATTTGAGTGCTAGGAAAGAAGGTTGGAGTGACACAGAATTGTGTGTGCCTTCCTCCCCCCCCCAAAAAACCCCCTCACTCAAGTTGAATTCAGTAAATAAAGTGGTCCCTCTTGCAATTGTATAATTGTTTCATGAGTCGTCCCGTCCCCCCCAATATAGTGCTTTTGGAGCTACCATGGCACAGACACATAGCTCTGAGGTACATTTCCTGATGGATCCTCAATTTTTTTTATAAGGGGTCCCCTCAAACTACCATCACATCAGAGGTCACCTCTTTTTACACGGATATACTTGTTCTGTGATTTTCAACTGATTAGATGTAAAAATCATGAGGATCCATGACTTGAGCCAATGTTCTTTGGTACTGACAGGCACCAGAACCCCTAGTTTATTGTGACAGGACCAGGTATGGCCTTCCCTATCCTTCCCTGGTTGGGCCCTGAAGAAGAGGTAAAAAAATTATGCTCCTGTTTTTGGTTGATATCTGAACCGAACAAAATGTGTTTAACTTACTAGGATTTGTTTACAATAAACTAATTTTACTTTACTACACAACCAAACTGGTTTCTTTTAACAAACCATAGTTAACATTAAGCATATTTCAGAGTTCAGATACAACCATAATTGATTATCATGGTGTCTGAGCACAGCCAGTACATGAAGTATTTATGCATGCCAGCTTGGCTGCATATGTGGAAAGGTGAAATACTTGGGGCGGGAGACTCCCATTGGAGTTTTGAGTTTCAGGCTTGATTATGAACAGTGGTTGTTGCATGACTTGGTAATCAGATCAGAAGAATTTTATTTGCATCAGCCACTAGCCATAGCAATAAAATAAAATAAAATGTACTGAAGATAGATAAATGTACAGAATACATTTTAGAGGTTTACATCAATAAATAATAGGTAGCAATTGGTGTTGAGAAGTGTTATGAATAAATTAAGAAGTAGCTGTGGCCCCATCACTTCATTTAAGTGCTAGAATGTTGACTGGTTTGATTGGAAGAAAATGGAAGGTATGTTTATGTAGTATTGCAAATAGCTGCTCCCCTAAATTAGCTGCAAGTATGAATGCTCTGCTGAACTGGAAAAACTGTTGTGTGGCTAATGTACTGCAAGTATGTCTTTGTGGATTTGCAAGTTCCATGTAGGCTTATTTACAAGGCTTGGCTAATGAGTCAGTTGGATTACTGGGGAGATGAGAATAACGTATGCTGGGTTAGCAGCCCATTGATAGGAAGTCATTTGTTCCTTTCAGAATGGGAAACGATTTTCTGTAACCCAGAAGCTGCTGCAAGTTTCCCTTCTTCAGGCTCTTTTTCAGTTACTGATTAACCCTCCTGGTTTAGCATGTGTAGCTCTAGTTCTGTGTTTGGAGCAGGGTGAGGAACTGGCTGGTGGTGGACTAAATTGCCCCCACCCCTTGCAGGCTGACTGCTGGGCAAGACCTCCGGCTATCTTAATGATGCAGTTGTGATTGACACATGTCAAAGTTCACTGGAGGTTGCCGAGAAGGCTGATCAGTAGTGACTGCAACCTCCTTTGAAGAGGTACTTTCAGCACCATTCAGCTGATTGGTGCTGGGAGTGCATCTTTCAAAGAGGCTTGGTGTAGCCACCAATCAGCTGATTTAAAAATGGAGCATTTCCCGCTCTCTGCAGAGGAAGCAGTTTGGATTCAGAGTGCTTCCTCCAGTGTTTTGAATCCAAAGCGTTTCCTTTGGAGGAGAAAAAAAATTGCTCCCGACATCAGGTGTAGAGCAGGTGGGGATGATTTGTGGGAAATGTTTTTGCAAGTCAAATTGAGTCCCGTGGCAGGCCAGATTAGTGCTGGAGGTCTCCCACCTCTGGTTTAGAGAAAGTAGGCAGCTGGGTTGTGGAAGTGTCTAAAATGCAGAGCTGGAGAGAATGTTACTCTCAAACCTTTGTGCTTGTTTTTTCGTGAAATGTGGTATATAAATATTTGAGATAAAATAAAGCCTAGTGAGTCAAGGAAAGAGATTGTCTTGAGAAAGATTCCTTGAAGACAGACTAGAAACAAAGGCTCATGGGGTTCATTTCTCTCTCTCTTTCACCCCACAATCCTGCATTTCTTTTTGTTTGAAGATAACAACTCTCTGGCTTTCTTTTCTGCCTGTTAGCCGGAAACAGGTTAAGGGTATGAATGAAATTAAATGCATAATGGTTCTCTTGCCTGTGAGAGTGCATTTCCTCACTCTGTGCTAATGCCAGTTCTTGTTCCCTGTTGAAGTAGTGATAAAAACCCTTGGCTTAATAAATTTGCTTCTGCATTTGTGACAGCAAAGCTTTCTAGCTCACCTCACGTGTAGAAAGATATATCAGATTCCCAGGAGGCTAGGCTGTGGGATATTTCTTGCCTCTCCATCAACATTTGACAGGTTTGGATGGCCAGCATTTAGTTACAGAAAATGCTGTGTTTTCACTGAGCTTGCAAACACCATGTCTGATTTCCACACTTGAGACTTAAATGTTTATTTCCTCTTGGAAAATGAAGCAGAGAAGCCAAACTGGCTTAACTAGGTGGTAGGGCTGACTGCATGCCCCTGAAATGAATTTGTTAAAAAGCATAAGGGGCGTTTGCTAAGAGGGTAAGGCAGGAGTATTCACAGTCCTGGATTCTAGTGTGCAATGGTCGTAGTAATTGACTGTGGTGGAGAAACATTCCAGGAGGGAGCTCTGTGGCATTTTCTACTACTTTTCTGCTCATTACGATGTCGTCCTATCTGACTGTCTGCTCTTATCTCCAGATCCTGCCTCTGCAATGCAAGTCACAGTACAGAACCCATTCAACGTGGTCATCCTATTTCAACCTGTCACTCTCCAGTGCAACTACCAGACTTCGGCCACCCAACCACCTATTGTCACGTGGAAGTACAAGTCTTACTGCCGGAGCCGCCTGGCAGATGCCTTTAACCCCAGCAGCCAGGACAGCCAGATCACCAACCAGCTGCAGCAGAACAACCCCGGGTACAACCCATATGTGGAGTGTCAGGACAACTCCAGGACGGTGCGGGTTGTAGCTACCAAGCAAGGCAATGCAGTGACCCTTGGGGACTTCTACCAGGGCCGGCGCATCACCATCACCAATAGTAAGTAAATAGCAACAGGAGTGGTGGCTGTCTCCAAGAACCCTAATAGCAGCTGCTCTGTGAGGTAGGTTAGGTTGGGAATGTTGGGGCCAAAGTCACCCAGAGAGCTTCTTGTTTGGGCGGCGATCTGATCCTAGATCAAAGTCCCATAGGCTAACTGTGGCATCAGATTGGCTTTCTCAAAGAAGGTATGTATGTATGAAGAGAAAGCAATGTTCTAAGTGAGCACAGGATGATAAAAGTTAAGGATGTAGACAGGTCAGGCTCATGGAATAGAAGCCAAGATCTGGAAGCTGGACAAATGGAAGATATTTTTTTGGAAGTGTCTTTCAGTCAGATCTGGCTTATCTTGGAGACAAAGGCCATGATCTTAAAACACTGTCGCTTATTTGTGGCTACAGATTCACAGCTTGGTACAGCTTCGTGGTGGCTTTATTCTGCTGTTAGTCTTGATTTTTTGGTACCCAGTTCCTGCTGTCCTGTGATTCTGTCAGTTTCATTGGTGCATGCTGTTGTGTTTGCGGTCTTCTTGCTGTGGCTCAGATTGCTAGGTGCCATAGGTTCCTTTGGTGAGAACAGCAGGATATGAATTCTAAAGACAAAATAAGTGTTGGGCCAGAGGAGGAGCATGGCCTGAGGGTTGAAGGACTGCATTTGGCCTGAGGTTCACCACCCCTGGTCAAATGTTTAGGTGTCTTCAGTGGTGCATAAGCCCTAGAAGGATGGGATGTAAATTTTCACATAAATAAAATAAAAATATCACAGGGCTCTTGTAATGATTACTGGGTAACATTATGTGAAGTGCTTTGAACACATAAAGCACTGTCTCACTTCTAAAGTATTCTTTCCCCAGGCTTTCTGTTTTGAGTTTCATGGGGCTTTTTTTAAACCTACGTCTTATCTGTAGCACAAGGAAGAAGAAAGGCAAAGTGCCAGGATTACAACTGGGTGCGACCAAATTCCACACCTTCCTGTGCCCCAGTTTCTCTGTTGGCTGGAGCTAGAGAACAATAAGTTTACAAGTGCTGGAATGATTAGCTGTGCTTCCTGGCTAGGACAACTCCTCCCCTAGCCTAACATACAACCGCTTAATGTGCAAGAGCATTTCAGTTCTGTGAGAAATCCTAATCCTAAAAGCCTTTGGAAAATTGAATTTTTGATTATTTGGCCTCAAGCTACAAAAGCTGAATTTGCAGGCAGTGCAGTCCCCAGAGTTCTGTGTAGCAGCACTCTACAGGCCATACTTGACAAGAGACTGATTTTGTCATGTAAACTCAGTGCATGAGTTCCCGGTAATCCATGTTAAAGCCAAAACCAATAGCCTAGATAGCTGAGTTTTTGTCAACTCTTGTTGGTAACAGCCTCCCCTTCCTGGGTCTTTCTCAGCCCAGATACTTGAGATTAAATGGAGGTGCCAAGAATTCAGTGTGAGAGCATACAGGCAAAGAATGCTATGCCTCTAAGCTTCTAAAGAGAAATTGTGGTGTTGCAACAGTATTCACATTATTGTGTGTATTAGGAGTCTTCTGTGGTGGAGAGAGAGACTGGGTGATAGGTGCTTGAGTCACTTAACAGTTTGACAAACCACAAGCTTCAATGAAAAATGTTCTGCTTGGGCTGGTAGATTTGCAGGCAGCAGGTACTTGATATGGCAGGATTGGGGAGGGTCAGAAATCTGATTGTAATTCAGGGGTTGGCAAACTAAGATCCGCAGGCCGAATCAGGATCCGGCCTGCGGACTGTCTGTGGATCGGCTTGGGGATTCTGTTCATTCGATCTGCGCCATTTACCGCCTGTGCCATTCTATTCCCCTCCACACACACACACACACACACACTGTGGCGGCGCCTCCTCCCTCCCTCCTCCTGGCTTCTCCCAGCCCTACCTAGAGGAGGAAAGGGGCTGGCTGAGCGCCATTTTAAGCAGCCCCTCCGGAGCCAGCCCTTTCGCGCCGCTCATCTTCCCTCCGCCGCCACCCTGGTGCTCCTGTGAACCAGGGAGCGGAGCGGATAAGCTCGCTCTGCCTACCCACAGGAAAAAGCAGTGGTGGTGGTGGCGGCTACTTGCCCCCCTCGCCTCTTCTTCCAGCTCCTACTCCCTGATGCTGCTTCTCCGGCCCACCACAAGGTCTGAGGGACAGCGGACCAGCCTGCGGCTGAAAATTTGCCGACCCCTGTTGTAATTGATGGAACATGGCACTGAGATGTGTAGGGCCAAATCTTCTAAAGTTTTTAAAAGGTCAAAACCACCACCCTCGGTTGTACAAACCCTGGAGTACTTAAGCAATGTACTCTCTTTATGTTTTGCTTGCATTCACTCTATGTAGGTTTTGAGTTGTTGCTTCTGTATGGATTGAATGTTGTTGTTTTTTTAACACCCTAAAGTATTCTTGCAACCAGCAAATGAACTGCTTGGGGCCCACTACAAAATACATCTTATCAATCGTAAAACACATGAAAGGGCTTTGAATCCAGTTCTTCTACTTCTAAACCCCCAACAACCCTGTTAACTGCTTTTTGAGGATATTGGCAGGTATTGCACAACTGGAGAACAGTGCAGTTCACTGGTTGATAGCATGCCTTCTGAAAGCAGCAAAATACTAAGCCAGGGGCAGGGAACATGCTGGACTGCCAACTTGCATCCTTCCTGAGCATTGCCCATGTTCGCTGAGGTTGCCAGGAGTTGGAATCCTGCAGCATCTGGAGGGCCCAGGTTCCCACATTCCTGCGCTAAGGAGAGAGAATGGAAGAGAGAATGGAAGATTCTTTTCGAAGGGGAAAAGAATAATACTTGATTTTATACCTGTCTTTTCCAGAAAGTAAAATCTTAGAGGCATTTTCCCTTTCTCTCTTGCAGAGAGGAGAATGCCTTCTGTTGTTGTTTTTTTAATTGTCTCAAAGTGACTTCCAACAGATTAATCAAGACACCTTTTTAGTCTGATTTAAGGTTGTAGTCCTAAATACACTTAGTCGAGAGTGAACCCTATTGGCCGTGGTGAGGCTTGGTTCACGCATAACACCAAGCCAGACTATGACTGCAGGAGACTCCATGTTTGTGGGTAACTGGAATGAAAATGGCAGCTGCTTTGCTCCAGCGCCATTCCTGCTGTTGCCACACTGGCCAGAACTAAGCCAGCCTCATGGTTTGTCTCACTCCGAGCAAATCAAGAGCTGTAACCAAGGTTTGCACTTTGTATACTGCTTATGGTTTGCCTGAGGTTTACAGACCATAAGCCTGGGATTGCACGTTATTCTAAAGCAAACCATGAACTAGCTCTGGGAAGAAGGAGGAGGAGGAGGAGTAGTAGTTTGGATTTAATATTCCGCTTTATCACTACCTGTAGGAGTCTCAAAAGCGGCTAACATTCTCCTTTCCCTTCCTCCCCCACAACAAACACTCTGTGAGGTGAGCGAGGTTGAGAGACTTCAGAGAAGTGTGACTTGCCCAAGGTCACCCAGCAGCTGCATGTGGAGGAGCGGGATGCGAACCTGGTTCACCAGATTACAATCCACTACTCTTAACCGCTAGACCACACTGGCTCTGGAGCAGGGAAGAAGCAAAGTTTCTGCTCTGGGTACCTGCACCTTTGCTCGTTCCCTCTAAGCCAAAGATTGTCTTATTATTGGGACTGTTTTCCCAGTAAGCATGCATAGGATTAAGCTGTATATATTGCAGCCCTAGTTCATTTAAAATAAAATAAACCAAATAAAAATAATTACAAATTGGGACCAAGAGCAGCAACCATTTTGCAATCTTTTCACTATCTCGTTCCTGCTGCTGTGCTTAACAAAATCGACCCTGCTAAATTCTGGCAAGTACTGCTGCTTTCTTTTTCTCTCTCTTATGAACAAAGACTTGAGAGGAGAGGCAAAACAGGAATAAACAGCATTTACTGTTCCAGCAGGTCAAAAGTCCATGGCAAAAACCTACGGCTTGTGATAGCATGTTTCAAAACAAGTGTCGAGCGCCAGATTTGGAGTCATCACAGGCATGTTCTCTTTCTTGCCTCCCTGCAAACCCATGGAAAAGATTGCAGTGTGATAACAGGGGTTTTTTCTCTCCTGCTACACTAAGGTCTGACTCACATTGCAGAAAACCAAAACAACCCTTTTGGACACCTGTGCTGTTTTCCTCCTGCTGCGTAAGCTCTGCATAGTTCTCGTCTTAGTAATGGGCAGATTGGATTTAGTTGTGAAACCTTCAGCAGCACCATAACCAGCAGTTAAAAAAAATAATTGCAATGCACTTTCCATCCTCGCAGCACTTTCTAAGCACCTAATTGCAGTTATTTCAGGAAGCACAGAAGGTCCACTTAAAAACTTGGTGCAGTTTAGGCTGATGTTCAGGTTCTGGAAACAATTGGTTTGTAGAATATGCTGATATTCTGCTGATTTGCAAACGTTGGTGCACTCAAAACAGGGATGGTGAAGTGGTGGCTCAAAACCTTGGTGTGGTCCTGGCCTTTGTACAGAATTTTAATCTTAAGAGTGATGCAACATTTGCTCAGTAAGGAACGGGGGGGGGGGGAAGAATACACATGTGTATTTGCAAAACCCATCTATATACCGTATTTTTCGCTCTATAACACACAGATTTTTTCTCCTAAAAAGGAAGGGGAAATGTCTGTGCGTGTTATAGAGCGAATGTGTGGTCCCTGGAGCCAAAAAATCAAGCAAAAGTCAAACCGCAAGTCACGGAGAAGGGAAACCTGAAAAGAGGAAGTGGCAGCTTTCCTGCATTCTGCCTCAGGGTCTTACTGCCCACCCTCCTCTGTTTCGTTGCTGTGATTGCTGAAACGGAACAAAGAGCAGGGAAAGCCCCTCCCCTCCAGGCAAGCAGAGTGTAGTTCTTTCTAATTCCTCTCTGTGCTCCGGTGCTGCTGGGGGAGAGGGAGAGAGAGTGGGGGAGGAGAGGGGAGAGAGAGGGGGGGAGGGAGAGAGAGGGGGGAGGGAGAGGGAGAGAGGGGGGGAGGGAGAGAGAGAGAGAGAGAGAGAGAGATGGCTGGCTTGGGGGGGAACTTTTGCCTTTCTTTCCTCCCACCCCAAATCCCTCTCCAGCATTCTTAGCCAGCTGCTTCTCTGCACACCCCTCTCATGTCCCTTCTTTGTTTTTCCTTCGCTCCCCACTTAAAATGTGGTTACAAAGCATAGATCAACATGGATCCTCAGGATCTTTGCATTGGGTCACCCTAAATTCACCATCAGATCACATAGCATGTCCATGGCTACAGCCTGCACCAAAAAAATCACGCACCCACTGTTGCCTGGGGCTGCAATGGTGCAAAAACGTGGTTAAAAAGCATGGATCCACAGGGATTCTCAGGATCTTTGCATTGGGTCACCCCAAATTCACCATCAGATCACATAGCATGTCCATGGCTACAGCCTGCACCAAAAAAAGCACGCACCCACTGTTGCCTGGGGCTGCAATGGTGCAAAAATGTGGTTACAAAGCATGGATCCACAGGGATTCTCAGGATCTTTGCATTGGGTCACCCCAAATTCACCATCAGATCACATAGCATGTCCATGGCTACAGCCTGCACCAAAAAAATCACGCACCCACTGTTGCCTGGGGCTGCAATGGTGCAAAAACATGGTTAAAAAGCATGGATCCACATGGATCCTCAGGATCTTTGCATTGGGTCACCCCAAATTCACCATCAGATCACATAGCATGTCCATGGCTACAGCCTGCACCAAAAAAAGCACGCACCCACTGTTGCCTGGGGCTGCAATGGTGCAAAAATGTGGTTACAAAGCATGGATCCACAGGGATTCTCAGGATCTTTGCATTGGGTCACCCCAAATTCACCATCAGATCACATGTCTGTGGCCACAGCATGAAGCACAAAAATGATACATCCACTGTTTCATTCAGAATGTTTTTTCCCTTGTTTTCCTCCTCTAAAAACGATGTGCGTGTTATGGTCAGGTGCGTGTTATAGAGCGAAAAATACGGTAGGTTTTTAATAGTCCCGTCCAACTCTACAATTCTGTGACTCTATGTTGCTGTGCTTGAGCATGTCCCTAGTATTTCCTGGGGCTTATGCAGGTGGCACTGTGGTCTAAACCGCTGAGCCTCTTGGGCTTGCTGATCAGAAGGTTGTCGGTTCAAATCCCCATGATGCAGTGATCTCCCATTGCTCTGTCCCAGCTCCTGCCAACCTAGCAGTTCAAAAGCACGCCAGTGCAAGTACCACTGCGGCAGGAAGGTAAATGGCTTTTCCGTGCACTCTGGCACTCTTCACAGTGTCCTGTTGCATCAGAAGCAGTTTAGTCATGACCCGGAAAGCAGTTCTGTAAAAGTGAGGCCAACCCCATCAACACTTGTATTGCCACTGCCGGTGTATCTGATATTTGCACATATATTGGTTTGCTATGGGGAAACATTCCTGAGTGCTGGTGCAGAACAAACCCTATTTTATTTATGCAGTTGTGAACCCCTATAGCAAGGCTGCGGGTTCCCTGCCGGAAAAGACCCAGTTTCTCATTCCTGCAAAACAGCAGAGATACTGCTTGTACCAGGGGTAGTTGACACGGTGCCCTCAGGATGTTCTTGGACTACAGCTCCCATCATCCCCGACTGTCGGGCATTCTCACTGTGGCTGATGGGAGAGACCATCTAGAGGGCACCATGTTGGCTATCCCTGGTTTTTACAATCAGAGATAGTGAGCAGTACTTGTTGCTTCAGCAACTGCCCTAGAATGTGTATGTGACCGATTTCCTTCTCCCTCACCCAATGCTGCCTCTGTGGACTTGTTAAAGTGGAAGAAGTTGAAGGCATAAATTGCCACCAGGTAAGTTAGCACGTGGGAAATAATTGCATGTTATTTTGGGCTGTATAAGGAAGTGAGGAAGTGGTTTCCCTGTGATCTTAGGTGTTGATGGCTTGATCTACCCAACTAATTGTTGTTAACCTGGCCCAGCCAGAAGCCTTGGAGCAAATGAGGAGTACCAGAATCCAAACCAGCTGAGAGAAAACCCTTTTCCCTGCACTTCCTTGTCTCTCGCCTCCTCTATTTTCCAGGATTGAGTTATTCATTCTCCACACTGACTTTCCCTTGGAGAGCCTTGATGGGCCAAAGCTGTCTACTTTCCAGAGAAGGGAGAATAACTGGCCCATGAATTGCCACACAGCAGCAGTACAGAGTTGTGCAGATGAGGAAAAAATAAATACTTGGGATTCAGTACATCCTGTGGGCTGGTCCTTGCCTGCTTGCGATTTAATTCTACTTCATGTTCAGCCATTTCTGTATCCTGGTATGATTCAAAGAAGGAAAAAACAAGCATCTGCTAATAGCCCTTACCTAACCATAGCGAGAGCATCCAATGCAATGTGTTAAAGTTGTAACTTCCCTTTTAAGAAGGGAAGTACCACTGTTGATGGATGGAATTTTGTACAGGGAATATTTTTTTCTTGAGACTTTGGGCAGAGAATCCAGCAAAAGTCTCAAAACAACCTTTCCCCCCTCCTACTGTTGGTGAGTGGTCCCAGCGTGAACTACCGCTGCATTGGATACTCCCTTCTTGTACCCTCCTACTAAATAGAAGTGCTTACCTGCAGAACTCTTCATCTTTGCAGACCTCCATCCTCAGACAGGCACAGAGATTGGGCAGTAGTGTAGCATATTCAGAAGTCCAGGGTCCCTTCATCATGGTCACAAGCCACACCCCTTCTAAGATTATACAAGTTTTACCATAATAATCATCATCATCAGAGGTACATTGCAACAATCAATGCCGATCTCCATGTGCTCCCTTCCTGTTAGATCTATTTTCTATGCACACACATGGGCAAATGATTTGGTGTGCTCCAATATAGTGGCTTGTGCTCTACATGAAGTTCAATTGTGTGTAGTAGAACTTGCACACCATTTTTTTTAAAAAAACTGAATAGCCTTGTGTTTTCAGTTTTCATAAATGTTTGGCTTTTGAGCATACAGTGGCTAAGAAGCTTCCTTTTTGTCTGATTGGGCTGTTCTTGGATGCTGGAGACAGGGACATTGCTGCAGAAATAGTAATGGGTGTTCGACACTTTGCTACCTTGGACTGCTGCTTCACTGAGTGCAAGGAGGAGAGCTGCCTTAGGTTGTCTCTCTTGTCTGTAAAAGAAGATGTAGCAGGGAGTCCCCGTCCCCCCCCATCAAGCCCTCTTGCAAGAAGTTTCTCGGCTGAGCACTCGGGGGCAATTTAATTGTGAATTTGGAATGTGTTCGCTGGAGTAACCCCTCTGACAGTTTCTGGCTTAATCCTAGGACTTTTTTCCCTGGCAGGGTGGGATGGCTCGCCTCTGCAGGAGATTTCCATTTTTACTTTTCGCGTTCCTCTTGAACAATGAGTCTTCCACCAATTGAGAGAGGCCCAGTATGGTTGCCTATTTCTGATCTCCTTGCAGCACAAAAGCTAGGATAAGCTTTTGAAAACAATTCAGGCTGAAATTGGGGCACAGCTTCTCTCTAGGGTCCAGAGCTTGCTTTCAGAGACAGGTGCTATTCAGCACTTGTGCACAAAATACTCCACCTTGCTGCAGTTTCCAGTTCTTACATATAGGTAAATTTCCTTAAATTAATGGATGGAAAGGTAGGTATCCGTATGGTTTCTCAGCATGAGCAGTGGTTTGCAGCTTCCTGTGATGCTCATAGATTCCCAAGACAAAAACCAAACTGATGGTACAGTTTATAATAACCAGCGGAAGAATATTATTTTTCTTTAGAACGATATTATGGTTTTGTATGTAGGAATATACCTTGAGAGAAGATGCTGTGACTCTGCTTAACATTCATCTATCCAAGGAGCTGACATTTAGCATCTGGGTTGATACCCTTTTCTTCTTCTCTGCCTTCTTTTTCACCCTTCTCCTCTAGATGCTGACCTCAGCATTGACCAGACAGCTTGGGGAGACAGTGGGGTGTATTACTGCACAGTGACTTCCAATCAAGACTTGCAAGGCAACAACGAGGCCTACGCTGAGCTCATTGTTTTGGGTAAGTGACAAGGCTGCTGTTGAGCACACAGGAATCTCTCAGGACAGATCAGGGCAGCTTAATTGCATGCTGTGGGAGGCTTTGTAGGGGAGGATGCTCTCGCACAAGACTAGCTGGCCTACTGGGTAAATCCCCAGGAGGAAAGGAAGACCTGGATGGTTGTCAAGCTTAGTTTGTCCTGCAAAACTGGTGCATGTACCTTTGCTTTCCAAGTCCCACCCACTCAGAGGAAGATAAGGTGTTTGGGTTCATCCACAGAAGAATGAGGTGATGTAGTTCATATTGCAGGTGGTAGCTTTTATTTTGTTACTGCTAGCCCAGATTTGTTGGGTTACAAAAATACACCAAGGAGAAAAACGACACAGGAGAGAAGAGAGGTGCTGTGCCAGTTTTCACTCAGACTTTTTAAATGTAAGGAAGCATCCAAAATGTTTATCTCCCCACCTTAATAACTCAGGGTCTGAACTGGTGCAGTCCATTCTGTTGCCCAGGCTCTACTGCGGGGGTCGGCAACCTAAGGCCCATGGGCCACAAGCAGCCCATGGGGGTTGTTTAACTGGCCCATGGATCCCCGCTGCCCACTTGGTCAGCTCCCATGTGCCGCGCCACGGCGTGGAGCAGAGCGGGGACCGCTTTCTGCAACACTGGCTGGCTTCCTGAAGCTCCTGCAGCCAGTGGGAAGCTGTGCAATGCCTCCTCCATGCCGGAAGGCGTGCCGGAAATAGCGTTTATGCGTGCATGCGCACACACTCCGGCCCATGGCGGCATCTGTGGGACTGTGAACCGGCCCAAGCCACGAAAACTTTGCCAACCTTCTCTACTGCCTTAGCCTGATTTGTGCGCTGCACTAGCAGCCTGAGAAACCGCTTCTGGGACCCCAGCACTGTGCTTCCTGTCCTAGCACCGGCTGTATCCAGGCAGGCATATAATTCCTTCTGTTTGATTGCCTGCCATATCAGCCCCACTGCTTTATGCCCAGCTTTGTTATAGCTCTGGGTGCCTCGCACTCCCAACCTATGCCACACCCTATCTGGGACACCCATTCGTAGATACACAAAAATTTGCTACTCAGGTGTCCTCTTGTAGTCAGTTGTAAATACTCTCCAGTGTGTGTGTGTGTGTTCTGGGAACAAAGAAGGGTCTCTGGACTGGAGCCAGGGTGCAGGTTGATCTTTGTTTGCTATGCACACAGGACTCTTTCTTTGCAAAATCTCTGTGTGTGCGTGTGCACGTCTGTGATACTGTACTGGAGGAACCAGTTCTAAGTGCGGGTGGAGACTGGCATTCTGAAGTGTCCCTTTATCGTGGGCAGTGCCGCGTCACCCTGCCCTGTAACATTGGCCCCTGTCATGAGGAATTTTGTGTCCTTTGTGGAGCTTAAAAAATTACTATTCTTGTATATTGTTACTTAAGCAAAATGCATGGAATTTTGCTTATCCTACATGTTTCTGCCTTTCTCAATGATTGTGTGCTACGAAGGGCACACAAGCCTTAATGCTACCTGCTGGAAATATTGCTTGAGTTGCCAGGGATTGATTTTGGGACCTTGTGTACAGTGGTGCCCCGCAAGACGAATGCCTCGCAAGACGAAAAACTTGCTAGACGAAAGGGTTTTCCGTTTTTTGAGTCGTTCCGCTAGACGAATTTCCCTATGGGCTTGCTTCGCAAGACGAAACGTCTTGCGAGTTCTTGCGAGTTTGTTTCCTTTTTCTTAAAGCCGCTAAGCTGCTAAGCCATTAATAGCCGCTAAGCCGCTAATAGCCGTGCTTCGCAAGACGAAGAGACTCGTGGAACGGATTAATTTCGTCTTGCGAGGCACCACTGTATATGCAGTAGTAGTTGCAGTTAAGACTGTCTTGGGTAGCAGGGCTGGGAACAACCCTTTTGTTTTGTCTGTGGACTTGGGGAATTGTTGACAGTCGGAAATGGATCAGTGGTCTAACTGGGTGAAAGGCAACTTAATATGTTGCTTGGCCTAATCCCACTCACCCTTTTCCTTCCAGGTCCATTGTAGTTGGATTTATTTCATAAGGCTTTGCCTGTGTACTTTTCAGGCTCCTTGTTACATACATTAGGACTAGAAGTTTGTTTTGTTCTTAAAAAAACAAAACCAAACACAGATCCTTAGTGTTGAATTTTGTGCACCAACACGCTACTTGTGGTTGTGTGCTGTGAGCAGATCTTCGAAGCAGAGAGGAAATGAACATGAATGGACTTTCCTGCAGTGGCAGGGATTAAAAGTGTGGCGCATCATATCTTATCTGTTTTGTTTATTAACATCTTTTGTATACCAAGGGGGCAATGTGCCCTTGGGACCCAGTGTGAGTTTGTTTTCAAACTGCTGCTGTTCTTTTTCGTATGTCTGCGTTCTTTAATTTGTATTTTGCAATTTGTGCTGTGATTTTTACTTAACTTTTGCACTCATGGCTCTTGGCTAAATGGAACCTCAATGTCCAGAGCAAGTACCGTATTTTTCACTCTGTAAGACGAACCAGACCACAAGATGCAGCTAGTTTTTGGAGGAGGAAAACAAGAAAAAAAATATTCTGAATCTCAGAAGCCTGAACAGCAAGAGGGACCGCTGCGCAGTGAAAGCAGTGATCCCCCTTGATGTTCTGGCTTCTGGGATAGCTGCGCAGCCTGCATTCACTCCATAAGACGCACACACATTTCCCCTTACTTTTTAGAAGGGAAAAAGTGAGTCTTATAGAGCAAAAAATACAGTATATCTCTGTGTACTGTACGTTGAGGGCAAAAAACAACAACATGGGAGGGCTACTGGCTTTATGCCCTGGTGAGCTTCTCAAAGTCATCTGTGTGGCCAGTATTAGAATCAAGATTTCAACTAGGCAGATCGTTGTCCTATCCTGCAGGGTCCTGAGCAACTTTCTGGCATTGCCTGACTGCCAAGTTAACTAATGTTCAGATCTGTGACCTGGTTCTCGTCCCACGCAATTATGTTGTTTACATCAATCCATTCCTCTGGAGGGCTCTAGGAGTTGTCCCACCAGAGGGAGCAGAGCAGGCAGGGAATATATTGGGACGCCTCTGTGCAGGCAGCTATTTCATACTGTGTGTGTAGTATTGTCTTGAGGTTTTCTACTCCCAAGTTGGCTAAAACTGGGAGACCTGCTTTCTTCCAGATAGTACCCTCTCTGTGGAACGTGTCTGCTTCCTGTCAGTTCCTGTACTCTTCTTTTTCCTCTATTTTGTTTATGTCAGAAACCATATTCCGCCCCCATGCTCAGGAACTGCAGCAGGGTGATGTGCCTGGCTGTGCCAGGGTTGCATGTTCTGAAAATATGCCGGTTGCTTACAGCAGGGCCTGGGAAAGGAATTATTTTCCCAAACATTCCACTCTGTAGGTGAGAGTGCGTGCCTGGCTTGCAGTTGCTCCATCAGGGGGACGGATGGGGACACACACACACAAACACACCCAGGAATGTTAGTCCTTACCTCTCTGTCCATTTCCTTAAGACAAAAGCAATGGGCTTATCTTAGGACAAGGTAACAATTGCAGGTTCATCACTTCTTGACTGCAGCATTTAAATAAGGGCTTCTGTGCATCACAGATAAATCACTGCAGATGGAATTTCTGATATTACCATTTGCCCCTCTAGGGTTCCTTTTCAGTCTGAGGGCCGCATTCCCTCATAAACAGCCTTCCAGGGGCCACATTCCAGCACGGCATTTTGGATGGTTTAGCCTTTGTACAGTGGGCTTCATTCCATCTGTGCAGAAGTCTCTTGTTTTCCATACACACACACCTCTCCCATCATTCGTGCAAGCGCAGAGCATTATGATAGTCAGAGGAGACATTCTAGCCAAGCCAAAGCTGTTGAGGAAAGCGCAGAGCAGGGACGACGTGGGTCTGGGGTGAGTTCCCAAGGACAGAGGCCTGGAGGGGGCTGCATTTGGCCCTAGGTTCCAAACCACTGCTTTAGCTGGCCCAGAAGTGCCTGCCTCCAGGAGCAGCCAGCTGTATTTAGTAACTTTCTTTTCCCTGTGTTTTTGTTTGTTCTGTAGGCAAATCCTCCGGTGTCTCAGAGCTTTTGCCAGGCTTTCAGATAGGGCATATGGAAGGTACTGGCTTTGCTTCTTTTCCATGCTGTCTTTCCTGGGGTTGTGAGGGGTGGGTGGATAATACTCCTTTGTTCTTTAATATGTCCTATCCTTGAATCTGTCGGGGTAGCAGTAGGCGTGCCTGGGTTTGGAAAGGAGGCCAAAATGTCTGTCTCTTAGGGTACTTCTTTTGTTAACTTGCTAACGCTGCAAAACTCTGTAGGCTTCTTTTACGTTTCTTCCAACCTCCCCCACCCACCCACCACCTACCTCGAACTGTGATGTACAAGAGAACCTGTCTTTTCATGTCCCTGCTGTAGAGAAGCAGGCTTAAGTGCAGTGTGCAATTCAGGGTCCCTTGAGCCTGTAACTGAATTAGGAGTGGTTCACACATACATTGGGGGTGTGCACCTAAAAAAAAAAACACTTCAAATGTGAAGATATCTGAAGGCAGCCCTATTTAGAGAAGTTATTAATGACTGATGTTTTAATGTATTTTTAATCTTTTGTTGGAAGCCACCCAGAGTGGCTGGGGAAACCCAGCCAGATGGGCGGGGTATAAATAATGTATTATTATTATTATTATTATTATTATTATTATTATTATTAATGTTACCAGCATCTGGATTGTGCAGAAAACACATTTGGGCAAGCTGGAACTGGCTGTAGCCTATCTGCCGAGTGTAACTTCATAGCAAACCTTGGTGTTCATTTGCACATGGTATTGTTATGATGATGGTATGCACAGGGGTTGCTGTTGTGTCTTAACACTAGCACCCTCGATAAACTGTGTATTGGAGTTCCCCATTGTCCCTGATCACTGGCCATACTGGCTGGGGTGCTGGGAATTGTAGTGCAAAACATTGGGAGGGTGCCTGGTTGGTGAAGGCTTGGTTATGCATTGTTCTGATGTTCTTTGGCTGGAGGGCATAAGCAAAGGGTCCCCAGCTTTGGTTTGTCAGGACTTGCTTAGGGGCTGCTGCTGTGCAAGTCCTTTCAGCCCCGGCAGCTAGTGAGAGGGAAGGGTGACTCACACTGGTGTCCTACACAGAACACAACTGCTTGCGAAGCAGAAAGGCAGTCCCCTAACACTCCATTAGAAGTTGGTGGGAAAGCTATACTTAAAACCATGCTCTGTAGCCAGCTGAACACAACCAACTCATCCTGGAAAACTATCCTTAGATGAGGAGGACTGCTGAGGCTGGCTTCAAAGCATGAATGATGGACACCAGCACTTAAGAGCTTGCTGCATTTGACAGACTTAGGTGGAGAGATCTGTGCCATGAGGCCTTGTCCATCTTTATGAGTTGTGGTGTGTATGAGTTCGAAAGAGAACACGCTCCATACTGCAAGTTCTGCGGTCTTCATCTGTTGGGCTAATCCCAGATCCTGTGTTGGTAATATATGGAAATTGGTCTGCCAGTCCAGGATCATATTTCATTTTGCAGCTGTAGGGCCCTTGAGTTTAAAGAACGATCTATAAAAGCAGTAGATAAAGCGCCCAATAGAAAGAGAAGGAACGAGAGGAGCAAAAAATGTGGCACACTGAAGGCTTTTGCTTCCCTGGGCGACTTGTTAGGTGTAGGTTCAGCATTGACACTGGACTTCCGCATCACTGACACATGGGAGGGATTTTGCCTCTGCAAAGCAATCTTGGTGCAGCAGTTCTTTTGCTTAGGAATAGCAAGAGGGGGCTGAGGGCCTGATCCTGATCCTTTAGGAGACAGAACGGTGCAATGAATGGGATAGATGTAGAATGAATGGCTAGATTTTTAGCAGCCCTTTGGGATCCAGGATTCAAGAGGACCTGTTGGCATGCACTCAGCATTCAACAGGATCAGTTAGGGTCTGAGAGGAGGGACTTCTGAGCCTGGGCGATGCAGGAGCTGGTGTGAGGAGGGGGCTGGAATTGTCAGTTTGCTAAGGCTGTCACACTGTGAGAGCTGTATATTAGGGCAAGGAGTGCCTGGTTTCAAAACTGGCATTCTCTTCCTTAATGGAAGCTTGTTGACTCAGTGTAGAAGCTGCCAAGATGGCCTAGCCCTTCTCTCTAGATGGAACTTGATTCATAGGCTCTGTCTCAAAAGGACTTTTCCCTCCCCACCCCCCTTTCTTCCCAGACTGGCTCTTTGTCGTCCTGGTGGTGTTAGGGTTCTTTCTGGTCTTAATGCTCTTTGGGATCTGCTGGTGTCAATGCTGCCCTCACACCTGCTGCTGCTACGTCCGATGCCCCTGCTGCTCTGAGAAGTGCTGCTGCCCTGAAGCACGTAAGTCGTCTTCTTCTCTTCCCCTGAACTGCGAGAGCAGGCAGAGCAGCTTCTGTTCTCAGATCTGCCTTGAACCTTCTGCCTGACCCTAGGACAAGTTCTCCCATCTTTGTGTGACTGCCCACAGGCTTATTAGTAAAACACCCTTGGATCTGTATATAAGCAGTCCCTAACTTTCCCCAAACTACCTAATGCTGCATTATATCAGCATATTTCTGCAAGGGAAACATGGGCAATATGGAAGCTATTCTGCCTACATTTGCCCTGATGAAAAGCGGAGAAGGGCAGATGTTATCGCTGACCCTGAATTTGTGATTCCCCTGAATGTTGCTGGAGGAATGCCCTGAACATTTGGCTTAGAATTCGTCTTTTCCAGCATTAATATATTGTAATCCCTAACACAAGCATGTCTTCAGTCTACCTTGCAGGGAAAGCTGCAACTTCGGGGGCCCCCAGTGTTTATGCACCCACCCTCTATGCATCCAGTAACCATCTGAAGCAGGGGCCCCCAGCCACTGTGATCCCCATGGGTCCAATGCCTGCCATGTACAACGGTTATGGAGTGGATTATGACAGAGCCAGTTCAGGTAAGTGGATTCTCCTTGCCAAATCCTGGCTGTCCCAGAGCTAGTTCCCTGCTGGACTGAATTGACAGTTCTAAAAGGCTTTGTGCTAGCCAAGGGCCTGACTCTTGTGAGCTCTCATTTGGGCTTAAACCCTGGTCTGCTGGGTGATAGAGCTGGTTCCTCACTTCCTGTAACTATTTGGGCAGCTGCTGTCCCAACACAGTGATAAGCACATTCGGCTTTGGAAACAATCATTTAGAGGGGATGGTGGGCTCTCCTTCGCTGGAGTTCTTCAGGCAGAGCAGGTGGTGAGGATCCTCTGGCTTGCAGGTCAGATGTGGCCTTTGAGGCTGTTTCCCCCATATCACACCCACCTACCCACGCCTGATGTGTGATGTCAGGGGTCAGGCAAGTAGAGAAGTGGCTGCCAGTACACAACCAGGGGCCTTAAAGTGATTTACTCCAGCTACAAAATATGAGGCTAATGAAGAGGCCCGAGACCATCTGGGCTGTGAGTCCTCATACCTGCCTTGCAGGCCTTCCCCCGCCCCCTGGCCTGGGAGGGCACAGCCTGGACTGCCTCCAGCTACAAAAGCTGAGGCTGCTGAATAGACAGCTGAGTAGGGTTTATTGAGGGGTGTTGTTGCTATCTTTATTTTAGAACTTACTATGATTTATGTGGAAATTGTCCAATTAGTGTACTTCTTGATGTTTTATTTATTGTTTATGCCTCCTTTTGCCATGTTTGTAATTATCTGATTCTTATTTTTTATAAGCCGCCTTGCACATTGTTTGAACCTATGGAAAGGCAGCATACAAATAAAATTATGAATGAATTAATGATTGTGCATTGGCAAAAGAAGGCAGGCTTCACCTTTGCCACCCAGTGACTAATAGGAAGTAGAGCTGAAGCCTCCAGAATTGGCTGTGTATTGTGCTTTGAAGGCCCAGCTTTTGAGACTTCGAAGTGCCGAATCACCTGGCATCAGGTGCTTGACAGGCAACGCTAAGTAAAAGGGGTCTTGTTTACAGGGTACAACAATGAGCCCCAGAACTGCAAGAATGACCTAATAGTGCTTGTATAAGTTTGCAGGATTGAGGAGTGTAGGGTTGAGCAGTCATTCTCGTGGCTGAATACCAAAGTTCTCTGACAATGCTTGCTGTCTATTTCATTGCAGTTGGTGGGAACAGCTCCCAGGTGCCCCTCCTGAGGGATACAGATAGTATTGCAAATGCTGGTAAGAAACATGTGTATTGGGGATAGAAGCAGAACTGTCTGCTTGGACCTTCATTGAGGGGCATATAAAAATGAAGTAGTGACAGCAGGCAACCTTTTGGGTGGGCAAGTGCTTCACCATTGGCTGAACTAACCTGCTTCATTGTGGGGGAGCTGCTTATGAGCTCACATGGGGAATTATGCTTTTGTGTGATCCATCTGTTTGTATTTGCAAGCAACTGTGGTTGAAAGCTTATAGGGTGTGGGGAGAGGGATATTGAGGGCTAATGCTTCCCTCTGCTGCACAGAAGCAGAATTGCTTGCTAATTAATAAAGATAGAGCAGGAAATTGTTCATGTAGTGAGTTTGCTTAGGATTTCCTTCTCACCTTCCAGATGCACACTTCTCAGGATAGTATGAGAGGATACCGCATAGGCTTCTGAGATATTGTCCTGTTTAGTGCCCAGTAAGGGCACTTGCAAGATCCTGGGCAGCTCCTCTTCTATGCTGAGCAGGGCCAGCAATGGTGCTACTTGGAGGAATAGCACCCCACCCCCCACCAAAGTATCTTAACTGGGAAGAGTTCAATTCCCCCAGTGGGCCATTGCTGACCATATTGGGTGGACAAGTTCCTATATAGAATCTTCAAGTTCCCGAAATGCAAATATGTGGCCAGAAAAGAAAGCTAAAAATGCAGCAGCAGCAGCAAAAACAAGCCAGAAAATGGAAAGACTGTGGACAGGTTCTTAAAACTCCTGCTTGAAACAGAGGTGACAAAAGAACATAGGCAGGGTGCTGTTGCCCTCTTTGTACTGATACTCAGTTCTGTAGCACACCTAGTTTTGAGCTGTTGCTCGGACTGTGTGTTCCAAACATAGCTGTGCTGCATACTTGCTGCTGCATGGTTTAGGGTCATAGTGCCACAGATATAGGAATGCTATCCTGCCATTTGAACTTAGAAAGCCTTGGAAAGGGATTCATGGAGACAACGACTGCCTCTTGGGGAGAAACGTCATGCTCAGCAGAGAGGAGAGAATTTTCCAGGCTGTGTTGGGAGGACCTTTCCCATCATGCAAAGAAATGTGCCCTTGTTCACAGAGTGCCTGTTGCATCCTGGAGGTTCCTCCTTTATTTTTAAATCTGCTGAAGCAGGTGATGAGGTTGTCGTTTATTCTCCCACTTTCCTGCCCCCTGCCCCTTCATCTGCTGTAGGCTGTGCAGGCAGGTTGGGGGACAGCTGCAGACCCAAAGACTGGGAGAGGCAGGGTGCAGGAGAAGGGACACCTATTGCCTCTTTCCAGTTCAGAGCTGCATTTATCTTGGTGGTGGGCAAATCCCTTGGTTGTAGCCCTGTTTGCTGCGTTTTGTCCCATGGAAGATATTTGGCTCCCTGCAAATGGGGAAATGGGCCTCTGTCCTAAAGCCTGCTCCTGATGTCTCTTCCCCAGCTGTGCGCAGCGGCTACCGCATCCAAGCCAACCAGCAGGATGACTCCATGCGGGTGCTCTACTATATGGAGAAGGAGCTGGCCAACTTTGACCCCACCCGCCCAGGCCAGCCTAATGGGAGGCTTGAGAAAGGTACTTTGATTGGGTCCTTCTTTACGTGTGGAAGCACACCATGGGGCTCCCCAAAAGCAGCCCTCAGGGACAGCTGTTTTTTAGGAGAGCATGATAACTAGCTGATGACTCATTTGCAGCCTTGAAGCTTTTGACCCTCTCTTGCACTTACTTTCCAGCCTCTGTGATGAGCGAACTGAGCTCTCTGCATGAGGACGATCGGCGCTACGAACTGCGGCAGGGGCTGGGGCGGCTGCGCGGCCAGGCCATGTCTCCCATCAGCGACGTGGAAGAGGAGAGCATGCGGAGCAGCGAGACCAGGCGCTTGCTACCCCCCTTGCGGCGTGGCCACTACGAGGACCCTCCGTCGCGAGGCCATGGCCGGCGGCCCCGATCCCGCTCGGTGGATGCTCTGGATGATCTGGACCGGGACCCTTATCCAGACCGGCCCAGGAGCCGTGGCCGACGTGGCTCCGATGATGACGAGTGGCACCGCCGCGACTATTCCCCGGACTCCCGCGACGACTATGACCGCTACGGCGGACGGCGCAGCCGGAGCAGGGATGACCTGAGGGACCTGGACCGATCGCACTACGATGACCGGATCTTGCAGGAAGCGCTGCGGCGGAAGCAGAAGGCAGGCGGCCGTGAGGACCGGGATCATGCCAGTACATCGAGTGGGAGGCTCGGCAACAGAAGAAACGGAGATGACGATAACAATGGTTTCCCCCCGCCGCCACCTCCATATACAGAGACAGAGTCTGTTTCTTCCCGTGGCAAGAATGACCGCAAGCTCCGGAGGGTGAGTAGGGGGGTAGGGAGAGCACCCTGCCAACGTGGCATGATAGCATTGCCTTGGCATTTCAGATGAAACATGGCCTTCAGTTGACTGCTGGATCCTTTTACGTTGCTAGCGAAGTGGAGGAATGAGGCCCTCAAGGGCGATTCTTTTCTTTCTCCTGAGGAGATTGAGCTGCTGTTGGAAGAAGGGGTTCAACAGAGGAGATGTTCCAGGGTAGGAGTGGGTATCTTCAGGTGTTGCAGGACTCCCAGTTGCCATCCACACCAGCCAGCATAGCCGGTCTTCAGGGATGATGGGAATTGGAGTCCAGTAATGTCTAGGGAGGCCACAGTCTCCCCACCCCTGTTCTTGGGACTGACCCAAATCGAAGACCCAGCGTTGTACTGATAAGAGCAACTGAAGTGATTTGGGGTGGTTCAGTCAGCTTTATAGGGGAAGATTATCCAGCAGCTAGGGCCTTTTAGGATCTGCTATGGGAATTTTCCTTAAAGGAAGACTAAAACTAGCTTTCTGGTTAGTGGCTCCAAGATAGTAGAATTGGAGACCCACCAGTATATGTCTTTATTATTGAGGCTCAGGAAGCTGTGCAAAGGTGTATTAAGGGTGCCTGTGTTTGGATCTTGGTCAATAAAAGAGTGTATCTTCTATTTGTGGTGTTTTTGTTATACCTTGTGGTGTGAACAGCCTTGGGTTGTTCTAAAGATCTGGTGAGATATAATGTCTTAAACTGTATTACTAAACCTTGACTTTCTTTTTGCCCTACAGAACCATGCTGTCAGCAGGGAAAGTTTGGTGGTTTAACCCTTTCCACACCTCTGCCTTGGGTGGATGAGAGAAGTCCTGTGCCTTGGACAGCTACAGCAAGTGCGTCTTGGCTTGTTGATATGAGCTTTATTCACCTGGAGTCTATAAAGTGGAGCTTTCATGTATGCCCAGCTGACAACAGGGACTGCTCGACTGGACAAAACTTGAGAAACAGACCTCTTGGTGCCTTAGGTTTAACTTCATTGCATATCAGCTGAGAATCTTAAGGAGTTTGCACTGCAGGAGAACTTTTAAGCTCCTTCTTGAGTGCTCCTTTTCAATTTCAGGCCTAGTTTTATTTTTTACGTAGTGTTCAGGAGGGCACTTGAACACGATCCTACAGTACTGTACTGGAAACGGAAACCAGTGGTCTTATTCTGCCAAAAGGAGAACTTCCTCTCGCTTTACCTTTTTGAATAATTTTGAAGACGATTCCAAAGAGAATTTACTGGAACTACATTTTCTGCATAGGTTTTTGAAGTGCTTCAAACACATTTTTTTCTTTTCTTTCTATTTTTTATTCCATAAAATTAATGTACCGCTTGATTGTAAAAAACAAACAACCTCAAAAGCGGTTTATGAAAGTGGTTTATACATGAGTTGTGTGATTTTGTGCGTGCAAGATTTTCCCCCTTTGTAAACAAAGTATAGACTGTCAGTGCTGTAAATATTCTAAGGCAGGTGTGGGAAACCTGTGGCCTCCCAGATGTTGTTGGACTACAAATTCCATCACCTCCGACCATTGCTGCATTGGCTGGGGCTGATAGGAGTCTTAACAACAGTGGCATCACTACAGGCTCCCAACTCTTGTTTCTAGAGTGCAAAGAGCTTATAATTTTGTTGAGTTTGCTGTTTTATAGAAATGAAAATAAAACGAGTAGGATTGAACTCTTGACTAGGATGTGATGTTGGAAAAGGGTGGGTGAAAAACATCCCTCTTACTAGCTTTTCTGTATTTTATTTTTTTAGAATAATTATTCTGAGGTGGGTTCTTTTTTTTTTTTTTTTTGAAAAGAGCACATGTAGAGCATTTGAGAGGGGAGTTAAGGCAGCTCTGAAGTTAGTTGCGTAAATGTTCATGTTTGTGCAAGTAGGCCACCACTAATTAAAGGCTGAACATAACAGCATAAATAAAGGGTCATGCAATGTTGAATAGTACAGATTTCTCCCCCTCCCCCAACAAAATGGTGAGTTCTATGCCTGTAGTGCTGAGAATTATATCTTTTGCATTGACATTTTCTATTTTAGTGACTACAATATTAAGTCGTTCTAAGGCAACTGTTTGCTGCAAACTGTGTTTCCAACTTCCTATGAAAGATCCTCTGCCAGTGGTAGCAGTGATACTTAAGCTGGTTTGAGGATGGTGTAAAGTTTGTAATGGACACCCATGTTAGGAACTTGTGAAAATTTGCCATAGGAGAAGCCTTGAGAGGAGGAAAGGCTTGCAGGGGGAGGAGAGAGGTTATTATTAAGGCCTTCCTCCTGTGCCTTTTTTCCCCACTCAAAATCTACGACTCACAGCTGCTTTTCCACTCCTGGAGAAAATACTTTGACCTAGAGCAGAAAAGGCTCAGTTTCCTTTCTTCCTCTCCCTTCCACACATATCTGGAGCCTCTTGCAAGCGCTTTTCATTTAAACACAAAACGCCATCTTCCCTGTCTAGTTTGAATCCCTTGTGATGGTTGCAGAGCGGTGGGGGAAAGAAGCGGAGGAGCTTTGATGTTCTCAAACCGTCCAGCAGGTGGCAAATCAACAGCAGCAACCACTGGGCTTACTATATTGGAAGTGATGGTTGTGCAATGTGTGCTTGCTGGGGTGGCGTCGTGAAATGCTGAAGCGTGCAGTTTCCCAGGCTGGCCATGAGAGGGACAACTTTTGGGCTGGCACATTCACATGTCGTGTTGCGTGACCAAGTGCTGCAAAGAGATGCATGCAGCCCAAAGCCTCCACTCCCGGAGACAACAAAGGCCACAGGCCACAGATGCCCTCTCAATCCAGGATGTGTGATTTTGGTTGGGTTACTTTTTTGAATGAAGAGTATTAAATACTAGGATGTGCATTGTTAGCAGTATTGGCCCACAGAAGCGCACAGCCCTTCCGATATTTCGATGTGTCTCTGCACACAAACGCCTGCTTCATAATAAAACTTTTACGACTAAAACCTTACGCAACTAAGCAGCAGCTGGTTGCAGCAGGGCTATCCTTGCAACGAAGTCTCCCTTCAAAAAGGATATTGGAGAGTTGGAAAAGATTCAGAAACAGGTTGTAGGGATGGGGAGTCTCCCGTTTGTGGAATGGTATGGAGCTTGCTTCTTTTAGAGAAAAAGTATGTAAGAGGTAGCAGGATAGGTAAAGGTAAAGGGACCCCTGACCGTTAGGTCCAGTCGTGGCCGACTCTGGGGTTGCGGCGCTCATCTCGCTTTATTGGCCGAGGGAGCCAGCGTACAGCTTCCAGGTCATGTGGCCAGCATGACTAAGCCGCTTCTGGCGAACCAGAGCAGCGCACGGAAACGCCGTTTACCTTCCCCCTGGAGCGGTACCTATTTATCTACTTGCACTTTGACGTGCTTTCGAACTGCTAGGTTGGCAGGAGGAGGAACCGAGTAACGGGAGATCAGCCCGTCGCAGGGATTCGAACCGCCGACCTGATCATCAAGTCCTAGGCTCTGTGGTTTAACCCACAGCGCCACCCGCATCCCTTATACATGATGCGGAGAACGTGAATAGAGGGAAGTTTGCTTTCCCTTGCATAATAATAGAACATGGGGCCGTCCACTAATGAAGCTGAATATTGGGAGATTCAGGACAGACAAAATTACTGAGTTATATGGTGCATAGTTAAAGTATGGAATTCGTTCCCACAAGAGGTATGGTCACCAACTTGGCTGGCTTTAAAAGAGGATTAGAAAAATTCAAGGAGGCTAGGGTGATGTTTTACCTGTCCTGTTGGGAGGCACTAAGCCTCTAAATGCAAGTTGTTAGGAATCACAGGTGGGGAGAGGGCTGTTGCACCCAGGGCCTGCTTCCCATAGGCACATTGCGAGAACAGAATGCTGGACTAGATGGACCTTTACACTTGTATTCTTAAGCAGAGCTGTGTCCAGTATTTGGCATGCAGTAGTGCTTTAATATATCAATATATCTGATTGCATGTCAGCCAGGATTATATCTGACAGTTTTCGATTGCTTTGCGTGCCATGGAACCTAATAGCTGGCAATATTTGATTGATAGTGTGCCACAAAATATGGATGTGATGAAAGGTTCAAATTTATTTATTTGGTTTTATTTGGGCTTGTGTCAGTCATACAGTGGCTACAAGTCCTAACAATATAGGAAGCCAGCAGCACTTAAGGTGGTGCAAGTTACCCCTATTCCAAACTTTGTTCAGGAGTGGGGTTACTGCTGGCTAAGCCAGCCTGAGCCTAGCGCAGGGGAAACAAGCCTTTAAAATAGAGTTTGACCAGCTTTGAGCAGCCTGAGATGTGCTTGTGCCAAGCTTGCTCTTCCCAGCAAATCTTGGGCTTGGATTGCACAGTTAGACTGCAATCCTATACACGTACTTTTCTTCATTGCACAGATGAGGAAGCTAGACACAAGCAGCTTCTTCTGACACTGGGATGCTTTAATGGAGGAAAAATATTTTTTTGATTGTGTGGTTTTGCGTGTATTTTTGAAACGGTGCAGGAATTTGACTGCTCAAAGTAAGCCAGTAGCAACCCTTGCAAGGGAGGGGATACTAAGATTACTGACCACAGCCCTTAAACCCTTACTGGCTTCCACTGCTGCACAGTGGAAGCCAGAGTATATCTGAAGGAGCGTCTCCACCCCCATCGTTCTACCCAGACACTGAGGTCCAGCGCCGAGGGCCTTCTGGCGGTTCCCTCACTGCGAGAAGCCAAGTTACAGGGAACCAGGCAGAGGGCCTTCTCGGTAGTGGTGCCCTCCCTGTGGAACGCCCTACCATCAGATGTCAAAGAGAACAACAACTACCAGACTTTTAGAAGACATCTGAAGGCAGCCCTGTTTAGGGAAGCTTTTAATGTTTGATGTATTATAGTATTTTAATATTTTTTGGGAAGCCACCCAGTGTGGCTGGTGAAGCCCAGCCAGATGGGCGGGGTATAAATAATAAATAACAAATAATAACAAATTATTATTATTATTATTATTATTATGCTCAAGATGGCGGAAAAGGGCTGTGTTGTACTCTCCGCTTTATATTGCACAAACCAACATTGCAATGCAGATCATAGGCACCAGTAGTTGTATACTTGTGGAGGCTGCTGTGGCATTTGGGTTTGGGTTGACAAATGAAATAACCAGAAATGCCAACAGCTACTCCCAGTAGAGTATTTCTATTCTTAGTCTTGCTTTTCTAGAACAAATTATCCTAAATCCCCTGGTGCACTCTGGCATCCTTCCTCTGCCTGATGCTCACCAAGCTGAATTATTTAAAATGCTGAGTCACTAAACTCCAGGTCAAGGAGGAGATGGGCAGCTGTTAGGTCCTCTGCTTGCAGATATCAATGTGTCTTTGTTTTAAAACTTTGCAAGAGGGACCGCTAGGGAGAACATAAAAAGGCTTTCACTACTTCACCCCAAAACAGTAAAGGCCTCGGGAGGTATATTTACTGATGGTTACATTTTAAACTTTTTATATGCTGCTTTTCAGGTGTACTGTCAGTATGGTTGATGAAATTTGGAAACTCTACAAATGCAACCAACACAACCTCCCCCCGCCCCCCGAAAAGGCTCTGATCCCAGTTGAAAAATGTTGTACCTGATGCTGAAAGGATAATGAAAATGGTACAACCATTAGTAGAGAGAGTGGTGTGTTGACCTCTACCACATATCACCCATTAGCAGACATATAGCAATAGAATCTTATTGAGTTGATGCTGGGAAAAGGCCTAGCCATAACAAAGACGTTTCCACCGTTTTAAAGATTGCAGTAGAACTATGCAATGTGCATAGATGTGCCCAGGTTTCGATTGTGAAGGGTGAAAGCCATGCGTGGCATGAAAGATCTTGCTGCTTTTGCCTTGGTCATTTTCAGATTCATTATTATTATTAGTTTCATTTCTATAACGCTTTATATTTTAAAGAAAAAAATCTCAACCTTCATTTAAGTTTAAAACATCCTGCTGCAGCCTTGGGTCCTAGCCTACTTCTGCCCTAGGCTTCCATTGTCTTCTAATGCTCCATGAATGAGGGAACATATGGCTTTCCAGATGTTGTTGGACTTCAACTCCCATAATGCCCCCACCCAACTTTGCCGATAGTGAGGGAAGAGGAGCACTGTAGTCCAACAACATTGGCAGGTCCCTTGCCCCTGTTGTAGGCTTTCGGCAGCTCAAGCCAGATCACTATCTGTTTAATAATTTTAATAATAGTTTATTATTTATACCCTGCCCATCTGGCTGGGTTTACCCAGCCGCTCTGGGTGACTTCCAGCAAAATATAACAACACAATAAAACGTCAAACCTTGACTTGTCCTGTCCTTTTGTGACATCTGAGAAGCTCAGCTCATGGGTTGCCAATGGCTTCATCACCATTTCCCCACAAAAAATTGTAGTAGCTATAGAGTGAGAATTAAATCAAGAATGGCTCGTGTTAGCTTTTCTGAAAAAATTATACTGAAGCCTAAAGGTAGCTATGAAGTAAGCCCACGGAGCAAAAAAGCAAACTTATTTTGAGTGCATCAAACTTATTTTGTTGTAAAATGTGGTTTTCACTGGATGCTTTTGATGTTGAATGCCTAGCACAAGTTATAAATTGAGATGGTGCCTTTCCCCCCAATCTATATGTTTGCATTCATTTTATGCTAATGCCCTAGTTAACCCAGAATATTGCATGTGTACCCTCCACCATCAGACTGCTTTCTGC